AACCTCCTTATCTGCATAATCAACCATCAAGACTATTATGAAGATTAAATAAAAACAAATGTAAAATACTTGAAAATATGCTTATCCATAGCAAGTGTTCAATAATTAATAACTATGTTTAGTATAATTACTGTGAGACTCAAGCCCATCAGCTCATACATACATAGCATTGTTTCCCACCAGTTTCCTAGAAGGGGAGCCATCTTAGGGAAGATGTGGCTGTCATTCCCTAATTCTCAAGTCAACAAACATTATTAGTGATCTTTGTGAGGCCAGAAAACTCAAATCCAATTTCTGAAAGTCACTGTACAGTTGTTAGTAGCAAAATATCTCGAGTTTGGTGGCCTGGGTTTGAATTCTAACTCTGCTAGTGCCTGGCTGTGAGACTTTGGTCCTTATTTAACTTGCTAAGCAAGTTTTCTCACGTAAAATAGAAAATACCTACTTCACAGGGTAGTGAAGGAGCCTAAACTATAAATATGAAATCAAAGTTCTTACCTCACCTTATACACAAAGGCTTAGGACACTTCCGGTGAAGATGGAGGCATAGGTAAACGCGGTACTCGCCTCCTCCCACAACCACACCAAAATTACAACTATAGAACAAACATCCTTCAGAACCGCATGAAATCAAGTTGAATGGAAGTCCTACAACTACAAAATTAAAAAAGAAGCCACATCAAGAATGGAGAAACTGAGGCTTCAGAAGAACCTGGGGAAGAACCTGATTCCTGATCCCCAATGTGTGGCTTTCTTAAAAAAAAAAAGGACCGTCATAAATTCAAGGACATTGCCTAACAGAAAAGTATGCAGCCCGGGTGATGAAACCAGAAATGAAGCCTGAGTGAATGCCTCAGTCAGAGATCCCAGCAAGCACTGCCAGCTTTGCCAGCAGTCAACCAGCAGAGGAAACAAGGACTTTTATTCTTATTTTCATGGTGGTGCAATTTTTTTTCCTTTAATTCTGCAATGCTTTAATTTGTAGTCAGCTGCACTGGTTGGCAGCTGTGGGTGGAGCAGCTCTCGGGAAATCATAGTGTACCCATCACCAGAGGCCCAGTCCAGACTAAGTCATCCAGTGGGCAGGCAATTCAGGGTACCCCACACAGAACCCAGTTCTAATTCTGACAAAACAAACAGACCCTTGAGTTAGTTTTCTTTCCTTTTTTTTTTTTTTATCCTCACCCGAGGACATTTTTCCTTTTTTGTTCTGGTAGAGTGGGAGGGAAAGACAGGAACAGAGAGAGAGAGAAACATCGATGTGAAAGGGACACATCGAGTGGCTGCCACCCACACGACCAACCAGGGCCGGGGACAAACTGCAACCGAGGTATGCGCCCTTAGCGGGAACCGAACCCGGGTCTCTCGGGACTGCAGGTCGACGCTCTAACCGCTGAGCCAAACTGGCCAGGGCTTGAGTTAGTTTTCTAGAGGGGTTGCACTGTGTCCTAGACTGTGTCTTGCCTACTGTTTTCCAGGAGAGCTTCAGATTAGAAAATCCTGCCTCAAACCCAGCCTGTGTGGCTCAGTGGTTGAGCATCAACCCATGCACCAAGAGGTCACCGGTTCAATTCCCAGTCAGGGCACATGCCCAGGTTGTGGGCCAAATCTCCAGTGGGGGGCATTCAGTAGGTGGCCAATCATTGTTCTATCTGATTGATATTTCTTGTCTCTCTCTCTCCCCCTCCCTTCCTCTCTCTCTAAAATCAATATAGAAAAAATTTTAAAAAAAGAAAACACAGGAGTGAATCTTCAGGACTTTGGGTTAGTAACAATTTATTAGATATGACACCAAAAACACAAGTGGTAAAAGACTGATAAATTGGACTTAATCAAAATTAAAAACATTTGGGCTTCAAAGGACACCATTAAGAAAGTGAAACAAAGAACCCAATTAAAAAATGGGCAGAGGAGCTGAATAGACACCTCTCCAAACAGGACATACAAATGGCCAAGAGACATATGAAGAAATGCTCAACATCACTAATCATCAGAGAGATGCAAATTAAAACAACAATGAGGTATCACCTCACACCTGTCAGAATGGCCACCATCAACAAATCATCAAACAAGTGTTGGCGAGGGTGTGGAGAAAAGGGGACTCTAATACACTGCTGGTGGGAATGCAGACTGGTGCAGCCGCTATGGAAAACAATATGGTGCTACCTCAAAAAATTAAAAATTGAACTTCCATTTGACCCAGTGATCCCACTGCTGGGAATATACCCTAAGAAGCCTGAAACACCAATCAGGAAGAATATATGTACCCCCATGTTCATAGCAGCACTATTTACAATAGTTAAGATCTGGAAACAGCCCAAGTGTCCACCAGTAGACGAATGGATAAAAAAGCTGTGGTACATATACACAATGGAGTACTATGTAGCGGTAAGAAAGAAAGATCTCTTATCCTTTGAGACGACATGGAGGGACCTGGAAAGTATTATCCTAAGTGAAAGAAGCCAAGCAGAAAAAGACAAATACCACATGATCTCACTTATATACGGAATATAATGAACATAACAGTCTGAGAAATACAGTAGACCCAGACACATGGAAGTAGGGCACAGACTGACATCCCTCAGAAGAGGGGATGGGGGGTGGGGGGGTGGGAAGAGATAAACCACAGAACTTATATGCATGTATGCATGACCAATGGACATGGACAACTAAGCCGGGACAGGGTGGAGGGGGGTGGGGGTGGGGGGTGCCAATGGGGTAAAAAGGTAAAATATCTGTAACAAAAAAATAAATAAAAATTCATAAAAAATAAAATAAAATAAAATAAAAATAAGTAAAGAAAGAAACTAAAAAAAATAAAAAATAAATAAATAAGAAAGAAAGTGAAAAGATAATCCATAAAATGTGAGAAAATATTTTCAAATCATTTATCTGATAAGGGATGTGTACTCAGAATATATGAAAAACTTACAACTCAATAATAAATTGAACAAATACTTCAATTTAAAAATGGGCAGATTCTGAACTGGCATTTCCCCAAAAGATATACAAATGACCAATGAGCATGTGAAAGGATGCTGAATATCATTAGTCATTAGGGAAATGCAACTCAAAACCAGAAAATACCACTTCATACCCAATGGAATGACTATAAACAAAAAGATAATGACGAGTGTTGTCCAGGATGTAAAAAAACTGGACCCCTCATATATTGCTGGTGAGAATGTAAAATGGTGCAGGCACTTTGGAACAGTTTGGCAGCTCTTCAAAATGTTAAACAGAATTACCGTATGACCTAGCAATTCCACTCCTAGGAATATATCCAAGATAACCAAAAATATGTTTACACACGCCCTGGCTGGTTTGGCTCAGCGGTTAGAGCGTCCGCCTGCGGTCCGGAGAGACCCGGGTTCGGTTCCCGCTAAGGGCGCGTACCTCGGTTGCAGTTTGTCCCCGGCCCTGGTTGGTCGTGCGGGTGGCAGCCACTCGATGTGTCCCTTTCACGTCGATGTTTCCCTCTCTCTCTCTTCCTCTCTCTCCCTCCCACTCTGTCTGTACAAAAAGTGGAAGAATGTCCTCGGGTGAGGATAAAAAAAATAAAATAAATATGTTTACACAAAAGCTTACATACAAAATAGCAACATTATTTTTAACAGCCCCAAAGTGAAAACCCAAATGTCCATCATCTGACGAATGAATAAACAAAACATATATTCACACAATGAAATATTATTCAGCTGTAAAAATGAAGTACTAGCACATGCTACAACCTGGATGAACCCTGAGAACATTAAGTAGACTTCATGTGTACAGAAAAGGCAAATCTGCAGACAAAAGTACATGATTGGTTGCCTGGAGCAGATTTTCAACCTATGCACTGCAAGAATTTTTTAAAATGTGCCGTACCTGACCATTTAGTCAGGAGCACTAACTTCTTTTCCCTTACACTCTCAAATAAAAAAGTGACAAAAGCCTACACAACAATAGACATCTGTTGTGAATGAATCAAAATTATACTTATTTTTTTCATCAGATCAGCCAAAAATATATTTTTTTGGTGTGTCACAGAATTTTAGTAATTAGTTTGTGTGCCATGAGATGAAAAAGCTTGCAAATCACTGGTGTAGAGCTAAGATTGGGGGGAAATGGACAGTAACTGGTAGTGGATTCAGATTTCTTTTGGAGGTAATGCAAATGTTCTAAAATTTATTGTGGTGATGGCTGCACAATTAAATTGTATGCTTCAAATAAGTGAACTTTAGCCCTGGCCAGGTAGCTCAGTTGGTTAGTGTGTCCCTATATGCCAAGGTTTTGGTTCTGTCCCTGATCAGGGCACATACAAGAATCAACCAGTAGCCCTGGCTGGTATGGCTCAGCAGTTAGGAGTGTCACCCTGCAGATCTATGCGTCACTGGTTCAATTTTGTTAAAGGGCACATAACTCGGTTTGGTCCGCAGCCCTGCTTGGGTTTGTGACAAGGCAACCAATCAATGTGTCACTCTCACATCAATGTTTCTCTCTCTCTCCCTCCCACTCTATCTGAAGATAAATAGAAAAATATCCTTGGGTGAGGATTTTAAAAATAAAAGAATCAACCAATAAATGCAAAAATAAGTGAAACAACAAATCAATGCTTCTCTCACTCTCCAATCAATCAATAATATAGTGGTGAATGGGTTAGCTTTATGATATGCAAATTATATTTCAATGGAGCTGTTAAAAAACAAACACACACACACACACAAAAAACCACCCACCCAATGCAACAATGCTTTACTGCTCCCAACTCTGCCCATAACTAAATAACCCTGACCAGGTCTGTTTCCCTATCAGTTGTAAAGACTCCTAAGGTCCCTCCCATTTTTGACTCTTCGGAACCCTTGAGAACCAAGCGCTTGTCGGGGGTCCTCTGAGGAGGGAATGGACCACAAGATGCACAACACTCAGACTTTGGGAAAACAGTGCTAGGGCTCCTACAGTCCTCACTGCTCCTCCATGGCCCCACTCCCTGACACTGCTGGCCTTGGAGAATCGCTTACCCAAGGCACAGGCCATGGCGGCGCCCACTAGGCCTCCACCAGACACCACCACATCGTACACGGTGTCGGCCGGGGAGCCGGCCCACCGCCGACAGGAGACTAGCGGGCTTCTTCCGGCAGCTGCAGGTGCAGCCCCCAACCTTCTCACAGCTAGCAGAGCCGACATGATGCTGACATGCGCGCTACTTGGCAACCCGCCTTGCGTAGCACTGCTACAGCAGAGCCCTCCAATCACTTGCCGCCTCAGCCACGCAGGCTCAGAACAGGAAATAGAGCGTGCGAAGCGAATAGGCCAATCGGAAAACGATCCTTGCCTCCTTGGGCGGGATGGATTGGAGGCTCCCTGGATAGGGGACTGGTTCTTGCATCCGCCTGGGAGCCAATCAGAACCCAAAGATATAAAGGGGCGGAACTTGGCCGGCGTAGCTAGCGTCGCCACCGCAGTCACCGCTTCTGTCACCGACGCTTCTGTCCCTGCCCCACTGAGAAGATGACCGTGGGGAGGCCAGCGGGAGCCTCTGGCGGCGCTAGGAGCCTTCAGGTGAGGAGGGAAACAGAAGGAGAGGAATCAGGTCTGCCCCCCGGAAAGGAACGCCTGAGAGAGAAAACTGTTTGATGTTGCCTTGGAGACAGACGGCAGGGGCGTGTCCCTGAGGGGCGTGGGATTAAAATTGGCAGCGTTTAGAACTCCTGGCCTGAACCGCTTGAGCCTTACGTCAGGCTCTTCGCAGAACTTTGCAGAGGCCGTTTTCGCTTAGTCTCTCAGCTACTCTAGGACCATTGTAGGATTGTTGTCTCGATTTTGTGGAAGAGAAAACTGGCAAAGGGAGATGAAGAAATTAGCCCCCAAATCGATATAAACGGGAAGTAGAATGTGATTGCTTAGGGCTGGCGGGGAAGTATGAGGGGTGAGCAGGGAAGTGAGGTGGGGAAGGGTTGGGAGGGTTGCGGAAAATAGAGAGTGACTGCTAAGTGATATAGTGTTTCTTTTGGGGTGATTCAAATGTAAAATTGTGGTGATGGTTGCACAACTTCGTAAATATACTAAAACCCATTGCACACTTTAAATAAATGGATTATATGTATTGCGTGGTATATGAATTATATATATCTCAATAATGTCATTTAAAAAGGAAGTTTCCTAAGATCACACACTCTTCAGTAGCAGAGTGAGGGCTAGAGTACATACATACCTTTGACTCAAATCCCATGTACTTTGCAGTGTTAGAGCTGGTCCTTAGAGAACTCAGTAAAACCATCACCAAGTGTCACCTGGAGGCCTGCAGCAGCCTGCCCCCAAATGGTTGCCAGCTGCTGTCAGTCATCCTCTGGTCCCATCCTGGCACCACCACGCCTGCTTTTCTAAAGATATCTCATGCTACAGTCCTCCCGCCACACTGTCCTCTTTCTACCTCTCCAAGAGTCAAGTTTTTTCCTGCCTCAGGTCGCTGCCTCAAGGCCTTTGCTGTTCCTTAAACCCAGAAACCGCTCACTCCAGATCTGAGCAACGCTGGCTCTTACTCATCAGTCAGGTGTCAATCCAAAACTCCTCCACAGTGAGGAAGTAAAAATCATCCCAGCTCTGAGAAAGTACAACTTAAACTATAATAGATACAGATAAGGCCAGCAGCAAGATCAGCAGAAAACAGTGTTTCTCATAGGACCATACTGTACTGTAAAATGACTAACATCCCCTTCTAAATGGTCATGCTTATTTATCAATTACTTACCCAGCCCCAGTTTGTCCTTGTCACCTTTTGAATAGAAATTGCAGTCAGCCCTGGCCGGTCACTCAGTGGTTAGAGCATCAGCTCTCGAACCAAAGAGTTGCGGGTTCGATTCCAGCCAAGGGCATGTACCTCGGTTGTGGCTCGTCCCCAGCCCTGGTTGGGTCATGCGGGAGGCAACCAGTCAATGTGTCTCTCTCACATCGATGTTTCTCTCTCCCCCTTCCTCCCACTCTATCTGAAGATAAATAGAAAAATATCCTTGGGTGAGGATTAAAAAGAAAATTGCCCAATCATCCACTTACTAAACTGTTCTCTCATCATGACAGCATCCATCCAGAATTTATCCCTGCTTCCCCTAACTCTCATCAGAATTATTCAGGACAAGCTAACCCTAGAAAAAGCCCCTCTCCCACCCTCTTACTAAAAACTACCCCCTCCCAAGTTCCCTATAATTTTTCATGGTTTACTGCAGCAAATTAATAAACCTAACTCTAATTATAGTACAACTAAACAGATGTACCATAATATGTCTCTGCCTCTACATAGATATATATATATATAGTCTTTATCTGATGGACTTTTATAGCCCTTCATATAAGGAAAGCTTCCCATAGCCACTCCATCACTCTGTAATCTCACAGTCTTACGGATTTCACTGAATTATCATCTTTTATTACCTGTCTACCTTCACTAGAATGTAAGCTCTATGAGATTAGAGACCTTGTCTTGTTCTCAGCTTAATTTCTAGTGCACATTAATCATCTAATATATATTTTCTGAATAAATGGAGCATTTAAACCCAGTTGGGTTTCCCACATTCTAGGACATTGCTCATTCAGCTAGACCACATCGTCTCTCCTGTTAATTATCCATTCTTAATGACATAATGGAAATTAATTAGAATATGAGGAAAGCAGAGGTATAAACAGGGGAAGCAAGGAAAGGAAGATTGACAAAAGTTGGTAAAACCCAAGTATGGCAGGGCCCAAAGTCACACTTACTAAATTGTGCTCTCTTAGCCAAGGTCACAGGATTCCTGGAGTACATGGGGCAGAATTCATGGTACAGAGTAGACACTGCGTGAAGTAGGAATTCAACTTTAGCTCTTTGCTTTTCTTTCCTGTCCTTTGTCAACCAAAGGTCGCTGCCATGGTTCAATGTCAACAGAAGTCTCCAATTTTGGATGTGGCACAGGAGAGATTATATTCAGTAAAACAGCATGTGTTGCAGCTCAGTTTTCAAACCTGGGAAACATAGCCGGGGCACTCCACCGGCTGGTATAGAGAAGAGAGTCTGGCCTGGGCCATGTGGCTCAGTGGTTGAGCATTGATCCATGCACAAAGAGGTCGCAGGTTCAATTCCTGGTCAGGGCGCAGGCCCAGGTTGTGGGCCAAATCCCCAGTGTGGAGCATGCAGGAGGTAGCCAATTGATGTTTCTGTCTCTCTCTCCCTCTCACTCCATCTCTCTCTGAAATCAATAAAGGAAAAAAAAAAATTTTTTTTTTTTTTAAAGAGAAGAGAGTCTGCCTCCTGGCCCCTGCAAATGAGGAATCCAAATTCCAGTTTGATTGGTCCTAGATTCCATGTGTTCTGATTGGTCAGTGAATATGCAAATATGAGGATATAGTTGTGTAGCTCCAATTGGTTGAGGTAGGTCTAGTCCATTGGTTGAATTACACTCCTAGGAGCTCTGTTATAAGGGTCAACTCAAATGACGGGAACACAGTGCTGGAGGCTGGCAGCTCAGCTTGTGGCTTTTCCCTGATATGCAGTGTGCATGAGGGACTTCTGTAAACAATGGCTGCTACACTCTAGTTATGAATTTGAGCCCAGTTATCCACAAGGAGTCCTTCTTGGCAGGTATATTCTTTCTTGGGGTTGACACTTTCAACCAGGCACACCCCATATACCAATTTGTGAAATTTCTCTAGAGCAAGGAACACATCTTACTTTTCTTTGTTCCTCCCTAGTTTCTCATATACAAAGGCTTATTCAAAATGAAATGAACAGTTGCGTTTTGAATAAATTTGAAATTATAGTTTGACCCCAGTCTATTCTATTTCATTTTAGATATTTCCCCCCAAATCCTCCTCAGACACAGAGGCTGAAGAGGAGCTGTCTGGGGACGGGCTGGTTTTGCCTAGGGCTGGCAAACTTGATGAGTTCCTCAACCTAGAAGAGACAGATTCTACTTCTCCTGACTCAACTAGGAGCTTTTACGAGACCCTGCAAGTACTAAAGCAGAAAGGCAGGTGGTGTGTGTCAGAATCCCTTCATCAGTCTGACCCCGACAGTGATGAGCACCTCTCTGAAGATGATGAGGACCTGGAGAGCTTCTTCCAAGACAAAAGTATGGGGAAGCTGCAGGTCCGGTACCCACCATCTCCGAGGTAAGGCACGCAGTTCAGCAGCTGCCTCTCTGCACAACTCTGACCAGTCATGTTCTTCTTCCTCAGTAAAGCAGAGGCCACTTCTGCAAGTTGCCACTTACCCAGGCTCCAGCAGAATCAGCTTCTGGATGCAAACATGTGTTCTGATTCCTACCAGCAGTCCTAAATCCCTTCGGGTAACCCTTAAGTCACTTGAAGCACTGGAATTGATTAAACAGATGCCTTTCCCAAGCACACTACCTCCCTGAGAATGGCAACAAGGTACATTTACCTTGGCCAAGCCCTGTTATATGTATGTATTCTTTATCTTTTTAATATTTATTTTCTCCTCCCTATAACCCTTGTAAGTAGGTATTATTTTTGCCATTCTACAGGTGAGGAATTGAGGTTCCAAGAGAACCTTGCTCAAGGTCACACATCTGGTAATCGTTTGAAGAAAGATTTGAATCTGGTTCTGACTCTAAAGCCCTGCTCTGTACCATTGTGCTGCCCCCATATGAAAATATTAGAGTGCAAAGTGGCAATTTTTGGATCAATTTTGAGAAGAGACTTCTTACTAAGGCTGCTAGTGGCCTGTGAGAAGGAGAGAGGACTGGTTGAAAAAGGCAAAGGCTTAGAGGCCTGTGGGGCTGTCATGTTAGGCTGAGAAGCTAGATGCAATCTAGGGAGGAGCGGGGAGGAGGATCTGGGAGGAGCTGGGCCTCCTGGCTGCCCTGTCCTCCAGGCACAGGGCAGCTGCTTTCTCCCCCCAGGTGTGGCTCCACAAGGCGCTGCAGCTCCCTGAGCAACCTACCCTCCGACATTCCCAAGGTTCAGTCCCAGCCACCCACAGGCTCCAGGCCTCCTTCCCAGCACAGAAGCATCAGCTCCTGGGCATCATCCATCACCGTCCCTCAGCCGTTCCGTATGACGATGCGCGAGGCCCGGAAAAAGGCCCAGTGGCTGGCCTCACCTGCCTCCTTCCAGCACGAGAGGCAGCAGGCCCAGAGGCAGGGCCAGGAGGAGGCCGAGTGCCACCGGCAGTTCCGGGCACAACCTGTGCCTGCACATGTCTACCTGCCCCTCTACCAGGAAATCATGGAGCGTAATGAGGCCCGAAGGCAGACAGGGATCCAGAAGAGGAAGGAACTGCTCCTCTCTTCTTTAAAACCCTTCAGCTTCCTGGAGAAGGAGGAGCAACGAAAGGAAGCAGCTCAACAGAGGGAATTGGCAGCCACTGCTAAGGTCAAGGTTTCCAAGCAGAAAACCACCAGAAGGATCCCCAAGTCCATTCTGGAGCCAGCCCTCGGGGACAAACTGCAGGGTAAAGACGTTCTTGCCACCTTGCTGCCCTCTGCCTGGGGGTGCCTTGGGAATTTAGTCAAGCTCAGGGGTTAGCCTGGCCTGGAGATGAGCTGTTCAGGTGGCCCCGCTAGAGGCCACTCTCAGTGCAGGCCATGGGGTAGAGTTGGGTCTATCTATACAAGAGGGGAGCCCTATAAGGAGCAAGGGACCAGGAGCGGTCCTATAGCACTCCCTAGCTTTGTCCTGTTGACGTCTCTCTCAATGAGTAGATGTGAAGGCCTCTGTGGCCACACAGATGTGACAACGGAGAACCAATGAGACAGCCAAAGACCGGCTTAGACCAGTGCCACCACTAGCCAGCTGCCCCCAAGGTTGGGCCCCACCCCTCCCTCATCCTAGCGAGGTGCTCATTTCAAGAAGTGTAGGTCCAATTAGAGACTCAGGCTCTCTTTGCTCATTCAGTAATATGTGCCATGTCCCAGGCACTGTTCTAGGGCGAATAAACAGACATGAGTTTGTGGACATGGGAGGGAGACAGATAGACAAATAATCACAACTGTGATGAGTCATTTGCAAGGATTACAGGGGGAAGCCTGAGGGTCCTATGGAGCATATAATAGAGGGACCTAACTTAGGGTGTGGTGAGGGGTGGCAACAGTTAGAGTCCCTAGAGAAAGTGAGCACTGAGGCTGACCCTGAAGGATGAGCTGTGCTAATTTAATAAAGGGAGGAAGAGTGTACCAGCAGAGATATAGCATGGAGGTAAGAGAAAGCTGAGCACATTCAGGGGATGGAAAGGAAGAGGGCAGAGAGAAGAGGGAGAGTGGGAAGGGGGGAGGCAGGCACAAGCCAGACCTGGGACCTTGTAGGCCATGGGAGGGAATTTGGACTTCACCAAAGGGCACTGGGGAGCCGCTGGAAGGTTTTAAGTAGGGTGGCTCATGATCAGATACGCAGTTCAGAAAGATCACTTTGGTTGCTAGAGAGATCATTTAAAGTGGGAGGCACGAGACTGGCAGGATGTTAATATAACAGGAGGCTATTTCAACAATTTAGTTGAGAAATTATGAAATTAGAGACAGGGATGATGAATAGAGACTGGACTGGAGACAAGTTAAAGTGGAGGAGATGGCAGAACCTGTAACTGATGAGATGAGGGAGGAAGGAGTCAATGATTTGGCAATGGGCTTGGGCAGTTGAGTGGATGATGGGGCCCTTCTCTGAGACAGGGGAGTTCTGGGAGAGGAGCAGGTGACTGGCCCGTTCATTCTGCTTCATCTCTGAAGAAGGAACCCAAGAAAGCACTCAGTAAATGAGAATGGCAGCTGGTTCTGCAGCCTGATTGTCACCTGGCAATGGTGTTCTTGTCAACGTTTATTAACAAGCTCTCCGGTAGGGGGCACTTGTAGTGTTTGCCATTTTCTGTGGTATAAATATGCCTGTCACAGTCAATTTCAGGCTTCCTACATGATGTCAGTTGGCTCACAAAATTCCTGAAAAGTTAACAATTGGCTCCAGCACATTACAGCTAGTGTTTAAAAAGGGGAAAGTTCTCCAAACCTTTTGGTGTGAGTCTCGGTCCCTTCTCACCCATCACCACCCTGATTTTTCTCCCCAGAAACTGAGCTCTTCAGGAAAATTCGCATCCAGATGAGAGCCCTGGACATGCTCCAGAAGGCTTCCTCCCCCATCACCTCCTCCAGTTGCAGGGCTGACCCACAGCTGCGCACAGCCACCCGAACCCAGGAGAAAAAGCTTGGATTTCTGCACACTGACTTTGGATTCCAGCCTCGGGTGAATTCTGCCGTCCCTGACTATGAAGACCTTTACAAGGCCTTCCAGAGAAGAGCTGCCAAGAGAAGGGTCACCCGAGAGGTGACTCGCAGCAAGCCCTTCTTGCTGAGAACTGCCAGCCTGTGTCACACTCAGCGGCCCTGTGATGCTGCCACCACTGGAGGGAAGAAGGTGAGAGCCCACTGCAGTTGCGGGAGGGTCAAAAACCTGAGGCCTGAAATCCAAGGAGGGCCGTGTCTCAGTGGAAGGCATTTCTCTGTCTTAATTTTTTTTAAAAAACACCGTTCAGCTGTAAGCAGATCCATCCGCAGATCCACAATTCCTATAAACTTAAGACCACAAGAATACTTCTTTTCCTTCCCTCTCTCTAGGGTTCAAGCAGGTCTGAAAGGCAGGGAGTGGGGATCAACTGTTGTGTCCCTATACCAATTCCAAAGAACTCTTCTCATTTGACTAAAAACTTTAGGATTGATATCCAAGTCTGTCCCAGTTACTAAACTTGAGATCTTATTACCCTTTGCTTTAATGCTAGGGGAAAAGATTCTTAGTCTGACTAGTCTTTCACTGAAATGTATTCCAGTTACCATAGAAACTAACCACACATGCTCTCCCACCAAAACCAGCCTTGGTTTCTTCTAGGACTCTCCACAGCCACCCGCCACACCGCGGCCAAGGAGTCGCTCTCTGAGTGGCCTTGCTTCCCTCTCTGCTAATACCCTCCCTGTGCACATCACAGATGCCACCAGGAGGAGGGAATCTGCAGTCAGGTGAGTGGTCAGGCTGCAGAAGACTCATGTCAGAATCGTGGCCCATGAGATGAAACCACCCTGCTGCTGGGCATCCTCTCGTTATCAGAAAGACCCAAAAGGGTGGAAGGGAATTCTCAGATCAGCACAGAAATGCATGTGGTCCTCCACACTTAGGGCTGGAAAACACCTAGCTATTCAGCAGATATCCGTGGGGGCTTACTCTGTGCCAGGCAGAATGTTAAGGCTGGAAAAACCTATGGAACCTATAGTTTAATACCTAGTCTGAAGTACAGAAAAGCCAAGAAGCAGCTACCTTATTTTGTGAGTAATGCAGTGATAAGGGACTACGGGAGACTGTAGGGTCACTGGGAAATCTGGGGCAGAGGTCTCTTGTAATAGATGTCTGAGGTGAAACCTGAAACTCAGCAAATGGTAGCTATTAGTCCTTTATTCCAGGATAGACATCAAGCCAAAAATGTTTGGCTATTTAACTAAGGACATTTACTCACATTTTTCAGTTCAATTAATGAATTTCTCCTGGGTAGAATATCACTGTATCCAGAGTGCTGGGAAGGCATTATGTGCCTGAGCATTTAATGCCAGAATATTAATCTTTCTGAAATGCCAGGGAGGCAAATTACCCACCCCATTCATAGAAAACACCAACTTTCCAGAGACATTACTAAGATTGCTTTAAATATACCCAAGTTGGTAATTTGCATTCTTTTTTTGCCTTCTCCTTTTAGAAGTTCACTTGAAAAAAAGGACAAAGCAGATGAGAGTACTCAGTGGTTGGAGATGCATAAGAAGAAATGTCAAGCAATGTCTAAATCTGTGACCTTGCGTGCAAAAGCCATGGATCCCCATAAAAGCCTGGAGGAGGTATTCAAAGCAAAGCTGAAAGAAAACCGGTCAGTGTTCTCCATGTGTCAAAGGGTTGACTGTTTTGGTATCCAACAGATCGTTGGCCTTGAAAATGACGAAATGGAGTTATTAGGTTAGGCTCCTATAATTGCTGTCATGAGTTTTCCCAGTCATAATTAGAAATTTACAATGTCCATGGGACTTACTCTGCTTAACTGGAATAAAGGATATTCTGGATTGGAAAAAGATGAGTTTAAAAAATCTTGTTAATTCCAGGAACAATGACCGTAAAAGAGCCAAAGAATATAAGAAACAACTGGAGGAAATGAAAAAGAGAATACAAACGAGACCCTATCTCTTCGAACAAGTTACCAAGGTAAAACTTACTCATTATTCATTTTTTTTCTGTCTTGGATGAAAGGGCCCTTAGAAATTATGAAAGTTGAATATCTGAGTATTAAACATTTCCTTGAGGCGCAGAAAGATTATAAATTGTACCCATTTTATTACTATCATCTTTCCCCAAAATAAGTAGTGAATATTGCTTGGGCTTATTTCATCCAAGACTGGTCTCCAAAGGCATCTATAATGGGAAATTTCACTTCCTAGAGTTTTCACTGTAGTCTAGTTCCCACCTTGAATGAGAGTGGGGGTTTGATCCCAGACACACAGTGAGTTTGGCTGTGTTAGTAAGCACATCTTTAACTTACTAATGTGACTGCAAGTCCAGTCTTTTCTGCTGCCTGAAGCCACTGTTCATAGTGCGGGGAAGATCTCTCTCCTCCTGCAGTGCGGGTGCCCTGGGCATCCCCAGCATCTAGATCTGTGGTACACTGCTAGGTCTCCAAGGGTTGGGATGCTCACAAGCACCCAACAGGCCCTTTCTAGATTAAGTGCCTTTGAAGCTGCAAGAATCATTTTAACATATTCTCTAGACTTTTAGGGATGTCGGATTCAGTTGAGATCTCCCTAAGGAAGCTCTGAGCTTATAAAGGCCACCATCTCAGGCAGCTTTGGGCTACATCAGATTCTCAGGATCACTCTCCTCCCCAGAGTTTCAGACAAAAGTTGGAATTCCCTAGTGACCTGGTTCCCAATGCTGGGTATTATCTCCACCTTATAGCCAGTGTATTATCTAGGCATTTCCTGGGTCCACTCCTTTCCGCCCACACACCCATCACACACTGGACTGTCTTGGATTTACCCAGCCACTTGCATTGTTCAAAATTTCATGCAGACCTCTCCTCTTCATGTTAATTTTTCCAAGCAAGCTCACACTCAGACTCAACAGATCTTTCACCACTCTAGGAAAAATGCAAGTACTTGATAGGATTTCTCTCTCAAACACTTAAACAAACAAAAAATACCCTTTCCCAGTCCTGTTAAAAGAATGCAGTTTAGCCCTGGCCAGTTTGGCTCAGCGCTTAGTATTGGCCCGTGCACCAATGAGTCTCGGGTTTGATTCCAGTCAAGGGCACGTACCTCAGTTTTGATTTGTCCCTGGCCCTGGCTGGGGTTGTGCAGGAGGTAGCCACTCGATGTGTCCCTTTCACGTCAATGTTTTTCTCTCTCTCTCTCTCCCCCTTCTACTCTATCTGAACAAAAATGGAAAAATGTCCTTGGGTGAGGATTAAAATAAAAAAGGTGCAGTTTGTTATATTTTAGTATTCCCAATGATGGTTTGGTTGCTTTTAAATATTCAGTTTTTAGTCCATCATTTTCATCTGGGTATTACTTGGTCTTCCAAAAATCTAAGTCCTTCTCCAAAGTGTGGCTCCCTAATCAACAGCTGACATCTCCTGAGACTGTTAGAAATACTGAATTGCGGGCCTCATCTGAGACCTAAGAGTTTGCATTTTAACAAAATCTTCAGGTAGTTCCTATGCACTTTAAGGCTTGAAAATAAAGCTCAAAGTAATTTCTATATAAATCTTGTGCCCACTAATTGGTGGGGGGGGGCAGTATTTAAGGATATGGGTTAAGGTAGTAATTCAGAATTATCAAGTGATTCACAAGATACCTACAGACTAATTTCCATTGTACAGGACCTTGCCAGGAAGGAAGCAGAACAACGGTATCAAGACACCCTAAAGCAGGCCGGGCTGGATGAAGACTTTGTGAGGAACAAGGTTCAGGGCACCAGGGCTGTACAGTGGAAGGAGCAGTCAGAAATCCATGCGTGTCCCAGGTAATCCAAGATGCTGCTCTCATCCTGCAGTCTCTAGGTGCCATCCCTAGTAATGGCCCTGGGAGGAACCTGTAGAACAGCCACTCATATTTTGAGATCACTCTCCTGTACTTACAGAATACTATCCAGAGATTTCCAGATAATATATCTGAATTTGGAAAGAAGTGCATTTGTGAATAAATTATAACCACTGTATATTAGGTCTAGATTCCTAAAATTTGAAACATCATTTTTCAATTCCAGTTCCAATGCCATCAGTCAAAAGTATTTCCACTCCATTTTTTAAAAATCATATATTTTTACTTTCCATAAAATGATAAAACTGTTTTCCTAGCACTCTTTAAAAGTAACTCATTAGCACCACCTCCTCCAGTGAGATCATGTAAATCAAAGAAGAAAAGCATCTCATCTCCAATATTTCAATTTTGTTGTTTCTTAAGTCCTGATGGCGCCTTCCCCTAATTCCTATCCCCATTTTTAACCTAGAAATTTCCTTTTACACCCCATATAAAAAATAATGAAAATGTTGAGACCATCCTTAAGCTTTACATGCTTTAATTAAATTTTTTTTTCATGTTTTGATTTATTCTGCAGCACCCATGAAACTACAAAATTTAGCATCAGAAATCCACAGCAAGATTTAGAAGAACCTCTAGAACAGCCTACAGGCCCCAAGACAGAACAGGAGGAGCTGTCTTATGAATTGCTAGATAATCTCAAATCACTTGCCTAATCAGCACACTTAAATTACTGGTTTTCAATAATATTAAGCAACTAATGTAGGGTTGAATCAGTAGGCAAAAACTTGGGTTTTGAGTCATGGCTATTCTTGGAGAATGGGAAAAAGGTAACAGATAACAGGGAATGATTCAAGTACATCAAAGTGGAGCTCAGGGTGGAGGGATTAGAGCCTAGTTAAGGGTTCTTACTTTGTGCCTCACACTGTACATTAGGTACAGAAAAAAGGGCACAAGCCCAAATGCCTACAGGGGCTAGTTAGAAAATAAATGGGTTGATAGGCTGGCTGTAAGATAGTAGGAGATAGTAGAGACCAGAGTCTCTGCTGGAATAAAAGCCCAGAACTATCAGATCAACTGCATTTTCAACAGAAGCCAGAAATCTGCGTGTTGGGAACTAATTTAAAAATTATGTGGAAATATTGTACGAGCAGAATAAAACACCTGGGGGATGACAAGTTTGCTACTTCTAGTACAGGTTTCCTCAGCCTCAGCAATACTGACATTTGGGCCAGCTGAGTCTTTGTTGGGTGGAGGGAGAGGGAGCTGTCCTGTGCACTGTTGGATGTTTAGCAACATCATTAGATGTCAGTAACACCCCACCAGTGGTGACAAACAAAAATGTCTCTAGATACTGCCAAATGTCCCTAGAAGAGTTGGGTGCAGAATGTCCCCAATTGAGAACCACTTCTGTAGTATAAAAGTAAGGCTACAGGCAGTAAAAACTGGCATTTTAAGAATACAAGTAATTGACATGAACTCAATCTGCATCGCTCAGGATGATTATACATGTCATTAACAAATTGAGAACTATAATTACTTTATTTAAAATAGCGGTTCTTTCCTGTTATCTATTTAGAATGTTATCTGTGAGCATGTGTGTCAACATGAGGTTCATTTTAAATAAATTTGAAACTCCTCTGATAGCCATGATTTCTATTAGTAAGTGATCTTTGGAATACTTTTCTTCTTACTACTTATAATTAGTTATTCTTTCTCAGTAGCTATAGAAACAGGATAATAGCAAGGGTGCCTACTCTAACAGAAGCACCTTTCTCATGGTTTTTAAACTTTCTGGGAAAATTCACTGCTAATTTTCCAGACTCAGACATAGTCTTTTCTGGTGATAACACAGTGATACTCTAGTTTCTATCATCAGTGTTTGCTAGTTAGATTTGAAGATCTTCGTCAGCGCGGCCGGTGTGGCTCAGTGGTTTGAGCGCTGTCCCATGGACTAAGAGGTCCTGGTTCTATTCCCAGTCAGGGCACATGCCTGGGTTGCAGGCTCAATCCCTAGTAGGGGGCATACAGGAGGCAGCCGATTGATGTTTCTCCCTCACATCAATGTTTCTCTCTATCTCTCTCAAAAATCAATAAAAACATTTTTAAAGATGTTCATGTCACATTCCCCAAAACTCCTGAGCTCAGTTTTACCTGCATGTACTCCTAAGGGTAAATCAGTACCTTATCCTAAAGGGGAAGACTGAACTACTTTCTTAATTTCCTCTCTAAGAAAACAAATTCTGTCTAAAACAAGAAGCCAAAAACTGACTGGGCTATTTTGTTTATTTAAAGGGGAAAAAACTGAAACTCTGAATTATGTGATTCAACCTAAAAAAAAATAAAATAAACTTTTAAACATGCTACTGTATGTTCCATAAACAAAGAAAGCAAAGTGACCAAACAGAAGTGTATGGGACAAGACAGTACCTCAGCCTGGGCCAAGTAGGGATTCAAGTAATTTATTTTTTTGCAGCCCAGTGGCAGAGTCTCTTACTCAGGTTGCTAAAGGGAGAATGTCACAACAGAACTGACATCACTCCCTTCTCCAAAACAACAAGGCATCTTAAAAGCTCAACTTCTTGGTGAAGTTTTATGGTTGGTGGCAGGACTTAGTTCATCCATGTGAAAAGACAACTGAGTCTGGAATGGAAGCTCTTCGTCGGAAAACGTCCTCTCAACAGTTATACTGAGAAACTTCAGCCAACACATAATCAAATTCATTTTGGTGAGAAGTCCATCCCAAAATGTTGCAGTGGGAAGAGAGGTAGGTACAGTTTACCCAGTCCACATCCCCTGCTTTCTTCCTTTTCTGGATCAGATGAGGGTCTGAAGAGAAGCTCTCCTGCATTCATCTTCTATGCCAGGGAAGATGAACAGAGGAAAAAGCGGGGTCTTGTCATTCACAGATTCATTTTGGTTCTGTCAGATCGTGAGCCATAAGCAATCTGTTCCCACTATATGCACTCTGGGATCAGACAGAGCTGCTCTTCCAGGATTCAGCACCCATGCTCATGTCCGTCTTTCAGTTAAATCTCCTTGGTTTAGTAACTGTAAAAGAGGAAAACAAAATCTGGAAGAGACATACATATATGTACTGGACTTGAAACAGTACTATGGACACTTCATGATGCTGTCATTTTCATTATGGTAATAAAATATCCTGAGTCTATAAGCAAACTACTGTTTGCAGTCACATACTCGCTAATCAGTTATGGCGGAATCTAGACTTACAAAGAAATCAGAAATAGTGAAACCAAAAATCTTATGTCAGTGTTAGCCCAAGTACAGGCTGCAGGTTTAAGTAGAAGTAAAAGGAATGAGAGGCTATTCCCAAAGTGTTCTACAGAGAGTCAGACCCAATTCAGAAGAAATCCAGGGATTCCCTGGGCTTAAAGGAATACGTTTCACGTCATGGAGCGAGACAAGCCTGAGAGACTCCAGCAGAGTGACAGCTAACATGGACAGTCTACTCTACACTTAAGGCATCTGTTGAAAGATGGTTTTGTATCATAATTGCTCAAATTGGGTTCCATTTTATTTTGAAAAGAAAACGAGATAGGAATAACATAGTGAAATTCAGAATACAAATTGGGTTTATTAAAATCTAACCAGATAAATTCTTGAGCTAGAGATGTATTTATTTGGTGATCTGAATTTGGATGAAGGTAATTTATCTAGAATTTACTAGTACAGAATTTAAAGACATTTAAAAATTTAAAGAAACCACAGATTTCATTTGATTCTGTGTGGTAGGGATATAAGAATGGTGTGTTTTTAACCTAGGCCAAGATCCAGATGTCCGAATTCAAACTTAGCAATGGCACTTTAAGAGAAATGGTACAGAATTTGTAGTTTGTGTTCCTCTTTGTTTTATCAGGAAAACATTCTAAGGTATAGTCAAGCTAGCTGGCAATCACTTATACTGGTTCTTGAATTCAAGAAGTGAACTCGCCCTGACCATGCAGCTCATTTGGAATGGGTTAGAGCATCAGTCCGACACGGCAAGGTTGCAGGTTCAATCCTGAGTGAGGGCACATACAAGAACCAAACAATGAACAAGTAGAACAACAAATCAATGTCTCTCTCTCGAAATAAAGAAACAAATACCTAAATAAATAAACAGAATGGGAACTCAATGTAACATGGGACCACATTTGGGATGATCTTTAGTCAACAAGAGGCCCAAAAGCCCTGGGATCCCAGTGGGCCTGGCACAATGAGTCCTCTGATGCTTGGAGACCTGGCAATATTGAGGGAAAACAGAAATTGTCCAATCTACACCATCTGAATGAGATATAGTTTTGCTATATTTTCCATGAAATTTTCTGATACTTGATTTGGTTATTTTCTGATATTCTTGATAAGTTATTTTTTTTAATCCTCACCCGAGGACATTTTTCCATTTTTTTTTGTTTTTGTTCAAACAGAGTAGGAGGGAGGGAGGGAGGGAGAGAGAGAGAGAGAAACATCGACATTAAAGGGACACATCGAGTGGCTGCCACCCGCACGACCAACCAGGGCCAGGGACAAACTGCAACCGAAGTACGCGCCCTTAGTGGGAACCAAACCCGGGTCTCTCTGGACCTCAGGCTGACGCTCTAACCACTGAACAAAACCAGCCAGGGCATTTATTTTTATTTTTAGAGCATATTTACAGGAGTCCAATTAATGCATCAGTAGGATTCTTTTTTTTTTCAATCCTCATCATCAGACAGAGTGGGAGGGAGACACAGAGAGAGGGAGAGAGAAATATCAATGTGAGAGAGACACATCAACTGGTTGCCTCCCGCACAACCCGGCCTGGGCCAGGGATGAACCGCAACCAAGATATGTGCCCTTGACTGGAATCGAAACGCGACTCGCTGGTGCGGGCTGACGCTCTAACCACTGAGAAAACCAGCCAGGACCATCAGTAGGATTCTTATAGGTCTAATAGATAATGTGCGATGACCTTCAAAAACAGAATTTGGAATGGGCACGTGTTGTTTTAAGGGTTGCAAATTGCCTTCTCCTTCTCTGGCATCTGAGAATCCCCAGGAATCAACATTCCTCCCTCACTGGAAGAATGGTCAGTTAGTACCTAGGCCTTGGATGAAGAAGAGGGCTAAGGCTGGAGCCTTGAGAAGCTTGTAGCTTGAAAACAAAGAAGGTATTGGAAGATGTGATAAGCCTACCTTGAAAAAGGAAAAGGAGGGAGTAAGCAGTGGAAATGCCTGTTATAAGAGGAAGATAATAATGGTAATAGTGCCCTGGCTGGTTTGGCTTCAGCGATTAGAGCATCAGCCCAAGGATCAAAGGGTCTTGGGTTTGATTCCCAGTCAATGGCATGTCGTACCTCAGTTGAAGGTTCAATCCCAGGTCCCAGTCAGGGTCATTCGGGAGGCAACCAATCAATGTGTCTCTCTCACATCAATGCTTCTCTCCCTCTCTTCCTTCCACTCTATCTAGTAGATCAATGAAAAAAATATCCTCAGAGAGATTAACAAAAAGAAATTAATTAATTAAATTAAATAATGGTGACAGTGAAGGAAATACAGAAGGTATGTTTATAAATATACAAAGACCCATGAGGAAAAAGTGATAGTACGGGGTTTTTAGCTATTCTAAGGGCAGCGCTTTCCACTTTATATTGTTATTTTTCTATTAAGTGTCTGGGCTTCCATTATGAAACCAGTTACTTAGGGCCCAGAGGCCCTTAGTGTTCTCCTGGGAGGAAGGTTGAGTTGTTTTTAGGTGGCCTGTGTTATTGTGTCAGCTTAAGGCTGTGAGTAGGCATCACCTAGACAAGGACACTCTGAAGTCCATTCCATGACCCATGTGCCTAGGTTCAAGAGAAAAAAATGCATTATTTTTTTGTTGTTAACCTTCACGGAAGGATACTTTTTCCATTAATTTTTAGAAAGAGTGGAAGGGTGGGGGAAGGGGAGCGAGAGAGAGGAGAGAGAGGGAGAGGGAGGGGGGGAGAGAGAGAGAGAGAGAGAAACATCGATGTGAGAGATTGGGTGCCTCCACAAGGGCCCAACCAGGGCCAGGGATTGAACCAGCAACCCAGGTATATGCTATTGACTGGGAATCGAACCTGCAACCCTCCAGTGCACAGGTCAAAGCGATAACCACTGAGCCACATCAGCCAGGGCAACAAATGCACTATTACTAGCCTTTCTGTATACACAGACCATACCTTTCTGACCATGATCATACCTCACTTGGAACTATGCAATGGCTGCACACTGCTCCCAGGATAAAACCATGTCCTGGAAGGCCCTTCAAGAGAGAAATGAGCTTATCTTTCCTATTCTTATTTTTCCATTCCAGGTCCATCTCTCCATTCCACATCCCATCATACTCAACCCTCTGTGGTTCCATAGTTGTTCCCTGTCACCCTCTGCCTTTGTACACATTGCTACCTTTATGCCTATTACTTTCGTCCACTCCCTCCCACTTATCCATCAAGATGATTGCTATCATCCCTCAGGTCTCAACTTAAACTCTAAAACTTATTCCCTAACTTCCCCCTAGACTAGCACTTACTACACCGAAAAAACTGCCAGCTTATTACTGATCTGTCACCCTTTCCATGCTAACTTCTCTGTACAGTACCACTCCAGGGACACCATTTACATATAGAGTTATAAAAGGTATGGGTCCCAACTCTGACTGTAAGCTCTTTGAGGTAGAGATTGTATTTTATTTACTATTATACAGTTAGTACCCAGCAGAGTGCCTCA